CATACATATAACTCAATACCTATGTATTTACAAATCTAACATGCAAACTTTAATTTTTACAAACACAACAATTTCCTTATGCATGAATATGTGTATTTTACTTTTTTAAAGTTAGAACGGTGGTATTTTTTTATAAAAATATGTATTTCACTTCTTAAAAGTGAAAATGGGGGTTTTTTCTGTGGTAGGAAGGATTTGAGCAGTATGCATAACAAAAATAAATTGTGTTACATATATAAATACAGATGTAAATGACCCTAATAAACGTACAAACTACTCAATTCCTATGTATTTGCATATATAAAACCTAAATTTTATATTTTATATCCATACATCCCAAATTTAATTTTAATTTCTAAAAAAGTGCAATACAAATATGCATAACAAAGTAATGTCTGTGTAAAAACTGAAGTTGTAGATGTTAGAAATGTAAATACATAGGTATTGAGTGGCATCTAAATATTGCAAAAAATTCTTTTTTATGAAAGGAATAGTTCTATTTGGGGCAGCCTCGTCTATTCTTTGATAATGACAAGTTATTTAATTCCTAAATCAGATATTTAAATGATAGGGACTTTCGTTAAAATATGATTGAAGAATTTTTCTTCCACATATGTTCAAAACTCTTTATTCTTTTGTCGTAAATGATGATAAGTTTATCTTGGAAACAATCCAGAACCTTAATTGCAAATTTCATGCAAAACTAAATTGTGAGACAACTGCATGTGTATCATTCGAATTTTCTTCTAAAAGTTTACAATACACATAAATTATTGATGAAATTTATGAAATAGGCGTAATATTTAATTGAAATTATTAGAGAAAACAAATCCCAAAAAATTTGGAACAAAAAATTATTAACGGAAATTGAAATCAATAACATGCAAACTTTAATTTTTACAAACATAACAATTTCCTTATGCATGAATACGTGTATTTTACTTTTTTAAAGTTAGAATGGTGGTATTTTTTTATAAAAATGTGTATTTCACTTCTTAAGTAGGAAGGATTTGGGCAGTTTGCATAACAAAAATAAAGTGTGTTACATATATAAATACAGATGTAAATGACCCTAATAAACGTACAAACTACTCAATTCCTATGTATTTGCATATATAAAACCTAAATTTTATATTTTATATCCATACATCCCAAATTTAATTTTAATTTCTAAAAAAGTGCAATACAAATATGCATAACAAAGTAATGTCTGTGTAAAAACTGAAGTTGTAGATGTTAGAAATGTAAATACATAGGTATTGAGTGGCATCTAAATATTGCAAAAAATTCTTTTTTATGAAAGGAATAATTCTATCTGGAGCAGCCTCGTCTATTCTTTGATAATGACGAGTTATTTAATTCCTAAATCAGATATTTATATGATAGGGACTTTAGTGAAAATATGATTGAAGAATTTTTCTTCAACATATGTTCAAAACTCTTTATTATTTTGTCGTAAATGATAATAAGTTTAGCTTGGAAACAATCCAGAACCTTAATTGTAAGCTTCATGCAAAACTAAATTGTGAGACAAATGCACGTGTATCTTTCGAATTTTCTTCTAAAGTTTACAATATGATGAAATTTATGAAATGGGCGTAATATTTAATTGAAACTATTAGAGAAAACAAATCCCAAAAATTTTGGAACAAAAAATTATTAACGGAAATTGAAATCAATTTATTTCAAATTAAAGATGAATGACTGCAGAATATTAACTTGATTCAACACGAAAAATGCTAAGTTCATGTGCGATTACACATATAAAATTCACTTAGGTTTTAGAAGGAAGATTTACATACCACTCAATTCCTATGTATTTACATAACTCATCAAGGTTCGTTGCTGGAAACGTATGCGCATGTAACAGCCAAGAAGGTTAAATCGTAGCGCAGGTCCTTGCTACTATTAATGAGATGCAGCAAAATCTTCCCAACAACAAAGGTGCCCAGCCCTTCTGTGCTTCACACGACAACCAAGGATGAGGAATAGAGGCAAATTATTGTTTTAAAATAGGGGCATTTACATACATATCACACAATTTTTATGTATTTACATATCTAACAGCTAAACATTCATTAACATCACACCAAAGATATCACCATCGCAAACTTTTTAAAAGTGAAATATATCATTTCATACATTAGGTTTATGACACCATTGCAATATAGACAATTCTGGCTGAAAAATGCACAAATGAAATACACATTTTTATGCATAGTTAAAGGTATGTAAAAAAAATTGAGGTGTAGGTGTTAGATATGTAAATACATGGGAATTGAACGGAATGTATGTAAATCTTCCAAAAAACTAATAAATAGACCTGCCCTAAGTGTATCGACTTTACTTACAGGCTGCCTCTTCCTCACTAGTCCATGCCAAGAACTCTGGAATCAAGATCCACTAAAGAAGAGCTCCTCGAGCAACCCAAATTTCCCTGAGCTAATCTCCTTCGTGCAGGCTGCCTTTGCTGCAAACATAAGCGCCAAGTTAAACAAAGATTTCATCATCAACAAGGACCAGGATTGCAAATCACAAACTTTACCAATGATTTCAGGAGATGCCAAAAGAAAGCTAAGGTCGAATCGCGGTTGTCCACCTACAACAAATATTTAGAAAGGATGTGGTTCATTTGTCTTTTTATAAGGGGCCATTTTAGTCCCAAAGTCTATAAAAATGCTGATTTAGTCCTTAAATTCTTTTAATGGGGGCTAATATGGCACTTCTTGAAAACCATTTCAGTTGATATTAAAAGAGTCTAAGGTTTAATTTGGCACCTTTATAAACTCTGGGACTAAAAGGCCCCTAATGTAAATTGTAAATTGTCAACAGACTATTTTAGTATTTTACTCCATAGTAAAAAAGAAACACAGTCATTTCTGGATCCCAAGCTCTGGATGCGAAAGTGGAGGGTTATGTTAGGTAGTCGATAGCCAGCATAATTTTTTTGTCGAAAAATTATCAATTGAATCAATTACATCCTTATGCAAATGCTAATACGTTCTCTGGAAGTGACACGGTTCATGACCTGAACATAGAGAAAAGTGTGCAAGGGTCACTACACCGGCGCCCAAATTTAGTGTCAAATAAGCAAGGATTCCCACATTACGAACGGATGCAGATAAAGAATGCAATCAATGAAATTAATAGTAGAATAGATTTGTGGAATATAGATACTCTCACAGGTAAATAGAATTAGTAGATATTATGGTTCATAATAAAATGAATATCTCATGTATTCAAGAAATTAAATGGATTGGAGAAAAAGCCTAGAAGATTAATAATTTAAGTTTTAGATTTTGATATTCAGTTAAAAGTCGTACTAGAAATGTAGGTGTAACTATAAATAAATGTTTGAAAGATAATATTGCAAAAAACAATAAAATTGAAGATAGAATTATAACTCTGAATATTGTTGTTGATACTAAAATTTTTAATGTTATAAGTATTTATACTCCTTAAGTGACTTTAGATATAGGTTCAAAAGAAAAATTATGAAATGATCAATAACAATTAATATAAATGATACCTATTAAAAAATAAATATTATTGGAAGAGATTTAAATGGACATGTTAGAAGAGTGACAGAAGATTTTAAAAATATTCATGGTGTCTATGATTTTAGAGTGATTACTGAAAAAGGTAACACCATATTAGTTTATTTTAGCGTATGATTTTGTTATTGTTAATATTTATATGAACATATTATTAATTATAAGAATGGATCTAATAAAACACAAATTGATTATTTTCTTATGAGAAAAAGTAATCATCGGGAATGTAAAGATTGTAAGGTCATTCCAAGTGAGAATTTAAGTACTCAACGTCAAGTATTACTTCTAAATTTTAAGATGAAGAGTTGTAAGATAAATAATACAATGAAACATTGTTATAAAATTAGATTGAGCACTTAAAAGACATAAATAATTTTTTTTCTGAATAAATTTCAAGATTTAAGATGTTCATGCAGGGTAAGGTAACAAACACTATTAAACAAGTGACAAAAGATATGTTTAGATAATTAAAAGAAAATTTTTTTATAAATAATAATAGCAGGTAGTGGAAAAATAATGTGCAAGAAAAATAAAATATAAGAAGTGTTATAAAAATTGGTTAAATGTGAAAGCTTAGATAGATGAGAAAAATAAAGTAGCCCGTAAGGAGTCTAAGAGAATAATTTGTGACGCTAAAAAAATTATTTTTAGCCATCTTTTTAATAAAAGAGATATTAAAAATGGTGAAAAATATATGTATAAAATAACCAAAAAAAAGATTTAATTCAAGTAAAATATATTAAAAATGAAAATAAAAAAATAAAAAAATTGATTTTCTTAGAGAAATATATTTAATATAAGTGTGTGAGCTAATTTGATAAACTTTTTTATGAAGTTTCTAAAATACAATCGATTTTAGTGATCTTAACATCATTAATAATAATAAAACATTTTATTTTTACCGTCACATTAATAAAAAAGAAGTTGACGAGGCTTTAGAAAAAATCAATGATAACAAATCACTAGGACTTGATAATATCCCAACAAGTGTGGAAATGCTTAGGAGATTGGAGAGTTTCTTGGCTTATTAAACTCTTTAATATTATTTTAAAAACTAAAAAGATGCTTGAGGAGTGGAGGAAGAGTATTTTGATCCCGTTTTTAAGAATAAAGGGGATGCACAAGAGTGCAAATTATAGAGGAATTAAGTTGTTGTGTCCTACTTTAAAATTATGGAAGAGAGAAATTAAACATAGGTTAAGACACGATACAAAGATTACACATAAAAGGTGTGTAATTTATAGATATATCAATAATATTGTTCAAAGTGATGGTGATATAGATGGGGCATTATTAGTGGAATTCAAGTTGGTTGGTTGAACTAGAGGCATGCATCGGGCCAATTGTGCAATAGAAAGTTATTGCTTAGACTTAAAAGGGAAATTTAATAAGTGCAATGCTCTATGGCGCAAAATGTTGGCCTTTAAAAAGGAAGCATAAAGCAAAGTTAAGTGTTGCTGAGATGAGAATGCTTGGGTGGATGAGTGGCTTGACACTTAGAGACAAAATGCTAAATGAATATATTCGTGGTAAGGTTGTGTGGCTCCAATGGCATACAAGGTTAGAAAGAGCCAGCTTAGATGGTTCAATCACGTTAAAAGTCCGCCATATGATGATCCGATTAGGAGAGTAAATGTTTTAAAATCTTATGTTAAGAAAGACAGAGGTAGACCTAAAAAAACTTGGGCATATTGTATAAAAATGAATCTTAATCTATTAGAATTAAATGAAAATATGACACTCCATAGGACGGAGAAAAAAGATTCATGTAGTGAACCCCATTTAGTGGGATAAAGGCTTGTTGTTGTTGTACTCCATAATAAAAAGAACCTTTGCCATTTTTGGGAAGTTATAAGCTAATATGAAATTTCATCGCCCAAACTTCTTGAGCAATGAAAGTTGAAATACCTTCTCGGTTTCATCGAGTATTATTCCCATTTTGGATATCTCACGCCAAGCATTTTCCATCTGTTGCAGTATTCATAGTATAGAGTTTAGGATTTGAAAAATATAGCTCCTGAACACAGGATGAATGCCTGGTGACAGATTCTGTAGTAACATGTCGTTTGCTTCTCTGTGTTCACAATCAACTGCTCTGTTTTTGGTTCGCATAGAGCGGATCCAATGATTGAAAAAGATTGCGGATTCTTTCAATAGAAAAGCATCTCTCCTTTAGAAACTGGAGCAGGACATCAATCACTCAAACGTGAGCCAGATTTTCTTTAAGATTCAAAGGATTTTTAATGTGGATATGTAAGTAGGAGAGCTGGCTAGCATTCCCTCGTTGTGTAAGGCTACTGAGAACAGCAGTGACATACTCAAAGTTTGGACCGTACAAATGAATTGCACAGGCAGCCTTGAATTGTAAGAGCATCCACTCACCTATGGCAAAAAAAACAAGAAGTTTTTATTTTATTTTTTTTTTAAGTCAGCCACGATAGAAGCCTTCATTTGACTTTTTATCAAATTGATGAACAAGACAATGGATTGAGCGAAAAATCACATCTTGAATGAAAATATGGCCAACAATTTTCCAAAAAGAGAAAAAAGCATGAGATTCTCACTCCTGTAGAACAAGAGGCATGTTTGATCGAGAAGCTGTAGATCTTGGATATTTTGGAAAGGTTAAGTATCCATTTGGGATAGCATTCATCAATGATAGTGTGTAAAGCGCCCTAGTCTATCCAATTGTAAATTTAAGAATGCAGAGTTGAACACTTGCAATTCTGACTTCGAGTGAGTAATCTACTAAAATTCAATGGGTTGTTAAGTTCGTTAAAATCCAAACAATTTTATGTTATCAATAGATGATGACTGTCTAGTCTGCAGATGTCTAATAAATAAATAATCCAAACAATTTTATGTTATCAATAATGACTGTCTAGTCTGCAGATGTCTAATAAATAAATAAATAACTTTTAAAGTACGTTATGTTTAAATCTAAATAATATCCACCACATCCAACTATTAGGTATTTAAACAATAAACTAAATAATGTATTAATTGATAAAAATCTACCCACAACAATTAACAAATAAGACATCTTAATGACACACTTTAAAACGGCATAAGATCAAATAGCTCCTAAACTTCTTTTACCAAACAAAGAATATTAATGTCAAATATAATAACATATCTACATGGACAATGTATCCTGAAGGACATCTTATCAAAATTTCCAGGATTTATCCGTGTCATATTCATATAGCTTCTTTCGAAGATTTCATATTCATATAAATTATTTCAAAAATTTCCTATAATCATCACTTACATAGCATAATCATATTGTTATAAAATTCTCATGCTTCACATATAACTAATGACATAAAAATTGCAATAGTGATTGCTTTTTATTAAAACCTTGTACTAATATCTTCTATGTAAAAAATGAAAATATAATTTTAAAACATGACTAAATAGAAGTTTTGAGAAGTTTCCATAAAATAGGAAAATGGTCAATCTTATCAGGTATAATATAGATTTTAAGAATACAATTTTAGAACCATAAAATGTAAAATGAAAATTTTTAAGTAGTATGTTTAACATATCTCTCACATCCCCTCCCTTCATATCTCTCTCAAATCACAATAAATCCATACTTTTGCCAACATGCTAGGCAGAATATATAAAACTTACCAGCCTTGATCTCAGAGAGATAAATACTTCTGCTAAAGTGGCGTGATACCCACCATCTACAGCGAAGCCTCCAAGTATCTCCAGTTTCTCCTTCAGTAAATATTGTAGGTATTCTGTTGCAGTATTTATTAGTTGTTGCAGCTCCATTGTTTGTTGAAATGCAATCTTCATAGTGAAAAAGCATAGATGTTTGAAGTTTAAGGAAGCAAGAAGCAAATTCTTCCCAAATGCTGCATTTCCCATCGACAGAATCTAAATGCATAGCTAGCATCTCCAGCAGTGGTGTTGTACTGTAATTCCCTGATGCAACAGGATAAAAATAATCAATTATAATTTAAAACCACCGACTTATTGCTTTATACCGGGCAGATTATTCTACAGAAGTTGGAATGACCAATATTAAACAATTTAGCATAATTGACAATATCGGGTATCAGGAACAATCCTTTGTTCAACATAATAGAAGTATCATAATTTTGACAATCAAAACGTTACAAAATTTAGGAACAACCTAAATAAACCCAACCAACATACCCCAAAAAATTGGATGATTAAAGGTAAGGAAGCAGACTTACAAGTTCTATTCATTCATGCACTTTTTGGATAGTTTCATGTCATGCACGTCTTCCCAATAGCACATTATAACTGTTTACAATGGATTTTAAAACTTCCAGTGACAGCATAAATGAGGATGCATGATTTTTTTTTCATTTTTACCTTTTTTTTGTTATATAGAACTCTTTGCACGGTTTTTGGAGGTGCTTTTGTGCAGACAACTGGAAAATGCATTATGTAAAGAGATTGAAGGTGGGTATTTTAGGTTTTCTATAAGAAGAAAACAAGAATCCGGTTTTGAACAGATTAAGATATCAATGTAAATCTCGCAATGTAATTGCCATAGCCTAAGTGTTAATCTGCGAATTCATTTCACCAGCTTGGGAGCAGCATCCTCCAAACTGCTATTTGATGGCCATTTCCAGAGAAATTGAGATAATATTTTATTGTCGGAATGCAGCTTCTATATAGGCATTTTTTTCATTGCTATCTTCGGTATAATTTCTCTGGTAATCATACTATTATTCTTTGCATTTTCAGTTACATAACTTTCTACGACAATGAATTGACAGATATTCCTATAAAATTTGTAGACCTTAAGAGCGAAAAGACACTAGGAGGAAATGTTAAAACTACCATCTAAACAACTTTAAAATGACCTGAGCAATTCTCACAACAAGACCACTAAGATACAAATCCCTCTTCGAACTTTTATTTTTTATAAAGCAGACATCATATTTTTTTTTATAACATGTTGGAAATTTATTTAGATTTGGAATCAAGGCCTCTTCTAAGCTCAGTCTTCCATAACTATTAATAAGCAAAACTTTCGAGAGCACTCATGATTAAAAATGATGCTTAAGTTCAACTTTAAGTCACTTTTAATGTTTAGGTTTCAATTGAATTGATAGGTGATATTGTTGAGAGAATGGAGGTATACTTGATCAAGATTGCATGGTTCTATCATCCTAGGCATACCAGCAAACACAATCTAATCCACGAAGCTTTGCAGAATAGCGGGATCGCGATCCGGGATCGCGATCCCTCTTGAAGAAGGAGGGATCGCGAATTCAAGCAATCCGGTGGGGCAATCCAGTGGGGCTATTTCGTGTATCCACCACACTAGACCTTTTCGGGGAAGAGTTTTTGGATTCTTCTTATTTTTTTCACCTTTTTGTTCAACTTTAAGTCACTTTTAATGTTTAGGTTTCAAATGAATTGATGGGTGATATTGTTGAGAGAATGGAGGTATACTCGATCAAGATTGCATGGTTCTATCATCCTAGGCATACCAGCAAACACAATCTAATCCACGAAGCTTCGCGGAACAGCGGATTGTGATCCCTCGTGAAGGAGGAGGGATCGCGAATTCAAGCAATCCAGTGGGGCTATTTTGTGTATCCACCACACTAGACCTTTCCGGAGAAGAGTTTTTAGATTCTTCTTGTCTTTTTCACCTCTTTCCTTTTGTGTAGAAGCAGAAGGCTATAAATAGTTGTCCCTTGTGTGTATGAGGCAGTTCTACTAAAGTAGTATTATAATCTCCTATGTGGAGGCTCTTCTCCTTGTTAGGGTTGTAACCGACGATAGGCGGTGCTTCGGATGTATCTTGCTCTAAGGTTGCATCTAGTTCCCTCTGAGGTGGTACTTCTCTCTTGTTCCCCCTGAGGCTGTATCTTGTAAACTTCAAACTCCTTCGCTACTACTTACCGACTCCCTTTCCCTAACACTCCCTTGGCTGCCTACCACCCCCACATTCCTCTACCACTCTACCGCCACCTCTACTTCCTTCACGATCTCGCCGTCCAATCCACCTACAAACAACCACACATAATCCCTTACCTACCCAACAACTGCTCACCTTACCGATGCCTCTACTGCCTTCCAATCTCTTCCTATAACTCTAGTTAGGGATTCGTCTATTATTATTGTATTTCTATTTTGTTTGAGTCATGTTGTATCACTATTTTTATATTTAAAAAGTTTACCTTTTTTTTATATATTGTCACATCCCAACTAGTTCAGATATCATTTGGTATTAGAGCCAACTTAACCCTAGTCCTATCCTAGGGTTCCCAGCACCCACCCCTACCCAATTCACCTCCATCAACTTTTTTTCTTCCCATTCCCAACTCGAAACATGCCACCATGGAGAGAAACATCAGGCTCTACTCATGAAAAGTTCCAACATGAAATTAACAACATAGTTTACCACTTACTAAGCAATGCATTTTTCATTTGGTGGTAAAAATTGTTGTAGTTTACCACTTACTAATGTCTCCTCCAACAAGAAGACAATTATCAATTCTTTCCATGCAAATTTTACCCGCATGATTTCAAGTAGTTTGAACTTGACCTCGACAACAAGACAAAACAAATCAAACACTTCCCCACTCAAACTATGAATCATGATCATAGATTAAAAACATAGATGCCAATTAAAAACATTAATATGGAATAACATTTGATTTTTAGTTCATCAAAGGGAATATAATTAAAAGAGAATTGCATTTATTACCCATAGTTTGTTTGTGTGACATTAGAATTACGCTTTACATGTAAACAAAAATCCATTTTTCTTTTAATAACAAAGGTTTAGAGTGTTAAAATAACAGCAATACCACAATTAAGTATGAACAAATAAACTGGTAGACGTAAGGTCAAAGCATTTGAGTACATTTCAAAAAAAAAACCTCAAACGGTTGGATTAGACCTGTTTTGTGCATTTTGATTAACCTTTCTATCGAGTAATAACATGCAGGGTCCTTCGTCAAGGCACTCTCATAGCAGCTGGAAATCACTGATATCTGACCGCTACAAAAACATTGCAGAAGTCTAGCCTTCAATCTACATGAGATATCATATCTATCATTAGTTATGGAGAAATAGATGGATTAGTATTTATTTACCAAATTATTAAAAAAAACAAAAATATTTTAAAGATCGAGCATTAAAAATGAATATGACAACAACATCAAGCCTATATCCCACTAAGTAGGGTTGGTTACATGAATCCTTTTCTCCATTGTGTCCTATTGAGTGTCATATTTTCATTTAATTCTAATAAATTAAGAATATGAGAAAAACAAAAAACAAGCTCAAACATGACTTCATGCTTAAAATGAAGAAAAATAAACCCTTTAAAAGTACAAAAAGCTGCATCATATCATGTCAGTCTTTATAGGATACCTGAAAGGAAGTGCTGAATCTAACTCATGGCAGGACTTGTCAAGCTCAACAATTGCTTCATGTACCTGATCACCAAGCAATAACAGCTGATTGTGCAGCATAATTAGCTTAAAGATGACAACTTATCAAATCAAAAGACAGAAATATCAAACAAATGTTGATAACAGTAGAAGCGATTGTACTAGAGGAAATAAAATGGTTCTGTCAAAAGAAAAAATTACAGTTCCACACACGCAAAGAGAGAAAAAAATACAAAAGAAAAAAATTATTGATTAACTCATCAGTAAATTTGCAAATCAACACAAATAACATGTAAATCAGCATGCCAAGCTGATTTTATTTAAAACACTAACTCTTTGGCACGTGATGCATCCCATAAAAGTGGGCCGGAAAGAGAATGACATTCGAAGCTAAAAAAGAAAATTCTCATGAATAAAAAAACATCATTAAAGAAAAAAAGAAGCCGTTGATGACAAAATCCAATCTAATGTGCATCAAAGACAAGAAATTAAATATTAAAATTTGAGGGTATTTTCAGTTATCACGCTTTTTAACGCCATTGAACTAACTTAAACATATATTATATTTTTGGTGTTGTGTGCGCTATCATCTCAAAACGGTCCAGCATCCATCTTCTTGTGTATCTAAAATTAATGACCCGCATAATTTAGCGCAACCATTTTGAAAACCAAAATTTTGTGAAGAATAGTTTGGACGGCTTGATAGGCAAACATTAATCATTTAAGACACTTAAGAGAATATTTGATAAAGACCCAATCAATTTGATATTATTACGCAGACCAATTTTGACACTTAAGAGAATAATTAATAATTATTAATTTTCTTAAAAACAACAGCAAATGTGAAACATGTATTCTGCTTGTACGTGTTCTTTAAGGCATACTTGACTTGTGTTCAAGCATGAACATCAGGAAAACTGAAACATGTATTTTTCATGAAGCCCTCCAGACTCCAAATCAAAATCAAAATTACTAATCTAGATTCTAGAATACACTATTCAATATTGGTATCAAAAGAACTAACTAAGCATTTAAATAAAAAATATAGAAGTTAGGGGCATATATGGTTGGTATTTTTTTCTCTCAGTTTTGTTTTTATTTTAGTTGTATTTTGTTATTTTTTTCAAATAAAAACAGAAACATTTCGAAAGTGTATAGTTATTGTTTTCCTAGTAGAATTTTTAGAATGAAAACAGCTCATGTGGCGTTTGCAATTTTTTTTAAAACACGCTAATTTCTTTCCAAAAGCAAAAAATAAAATTGCCTAACCAAGAACATTTCCTAACTAAATTAGATATCCTTTAAAACCAAAAATAAAAAACAGAAAAGAAAAGTATAACCAAACATGCCCAATGTATATGCAATGCATTTTATTAAAATTATTACGAACGGGTTGGCAATAAATGCTGAAATAAATCATAATCATGTTTCATTCATACAATTTTGAAATGCGCTGGAAGAAAAGCCAAAAATTGGTCACAACATCATACCAATGTTAAAAAAGAATCTCATCAATCTTTGCCAGCATTTTGCACTCTTAGGCACAATGTGTTATTAGGTTGGTAAATAATCCAAACTTGAGCAGATTGGAGCTTGGATCAAGATTGGCACAAAAACATTCGGTCGGATCTAAAACCAAGAAAGAGCCTTATTAAAGGCTAGCTTGTTATGATCTTCATTCGAGCCATGCATAACTCATAAACTTGAATCCAAACTAGATTCAAGAGAAAAATCAATATGATTATTACTAATTATATATATAGGACTGATAGAATCTGTAGAAATTATCTTGGGCGATTAAGCTTTCAATGGAATACGTCAGAGAATAATAGGCTTTCTCATGTTCTCCAGACTTGAATGGTTAGTAAGTTAACCGTAAAGCAACTATTTGATGAGAAGACAATGATTGATAGCTAAACAGTAGTTAGATAGTTGGCCTCTGTAGACTAGACAGAAAGAACGTGAGGCCGAGAAATCACAGTTAAAATCAAAAGAAGAGTGGGAGAGAGGACAATAAATATAAGACAATGAAAGAGAGAATAAGGACGAATTATAATTTTTTTTTCCTTTTCTAACTTGAAGTTAAAATCCTAAGCACTCCTATAGTTGCATCAAATAAGCAACCCTCATCCAAAATATCCTAAGGACAATTTCAATTAGGATAATAACAATCCCTGTAAACAAAAAATATATATATTCTCTTGAATCGCCTAAATTGGGTGGTTAGCCAGGTCGAATTAGATGGAGCGAATTTTAGGTAGTTGCCTTTATCTCTCCACTTCTACTTTTCTCTCCTATCTCATTGGTCACCCTCTATTTTTGAAATTTAAACTAAAATTTTGTGAGTTCCCAGCTCAGTTCATATTTACAAAATTTGCAATATTTTTTAAATCCTCTTGCATCACTGTCGCGGCTCCAAATTTTAGGTCATTGGCTCCTACAAGTTCCTCTTCTTGTTATTTGGATCTGCTCTTCTTTTTATATTCCTTGAATTCATAAGCTTCTAAGCGAGTAATAATAGTATATAAACAAGGAATTCAGATTGTGCCCTTATGCTTGTCATTAGAAAGAGAACTCTTAAATCTTTGTTGAAATCCTCAAATATATTGGTCTCCATCCCCTTCGATTACCAATATGTTTTTTTTCCATTCCTTTACAAAGACAATTTTTTTTTATCTTCAAAAGAAGATAGCATCTTTATCTCACAAAAATGGATTGCCCGATATTACATAGCATACATCCAATGCTACAACACTGAATAATATTGATTTATTTCATCAATGAAGCATCTGCATAAAGTTATAGTGACTTAGCAAACATTACTCATTAGAAACCAACTACGAGAATAGGGTTTGGGAAGCTTAGTACTGACCAAACCAAAAATCAAAGCAAAGCTTCACTTTTTTCAATACTTAGGTCCAAAACAACATTGAGAATATTGATTTCACCAGAAGCTGGTGCTGAAAAGCTTCCTCCCAAGCTTTCTCACTTGCGTCTGCATGTAAATGAAGGATATTGCATGATCTTACCTTTGCCACTCCAACAACAATTACTTCTTCTAACTTAATGAATATATTTCTGATCCATCCAGATTAAAATCGTAATTGGATATAAATTTAAACAATTATTGAGTTTATAACATACTTATTGCAAAAGCAACATGATGATCTAGTGACTTACTCATATGTTGAGGGAAACTTCAATCCTCTCCTTTTTACATGGTTGCACAATTGGGCTTTCTGTCCAACGTACAAAATCTTTATTGAAACTCCACTACAAATTTCATATATATATATTTTTTCTTGAAACAAAATTTCTAAAACAATAGATTGCTATACAAATTCCTTATCATGCTTCGAAATCTATCTTTGGATTAACCTATTCTTCTTTGTGTATGATGGGAAAGAAATAAACTTTTAACAATCTTTCGACTGGGCACTTGTCAAGTTTACAATTCATAATTTTTAAATTGTGAATCTAACCATATTAAAGTGTGTGAAACAAAACTTCAAACAAGCTTGTTGGAAGAAGTAAATGTGAATTTAACCATACAATATTTTTTACTATCAAGATAATAAATACCTTAAAAATCAGGACAATTATCAATTACCTCAAACGTGACAATTTGGTTGATGAGGTGACTCTTACTTTGCTTCTGGGGGATACTTTCGTCCCTATTTTTTGTATTTTTTTTAGCTTCTCTCCGGATCGAAAAATTCTCATCTGCATTTTTTTTTTTTTGTAGATGTGTCTCCTTTATTTTCATAGTGGTGTGATCTTATATATAAAGCTTCCATGTAATTCATCATTGTAGAGGCCTGACTCATCATATGTTTTTTTAAACTAAGCAATCACCTTTAACTTTTTATATTTTTATTCATACTCAGCATGTTTTAGTCTCCAAGAGTCACCTTCTGAATCCTTAGTTAACCCTAAGAAATTTCTTGCGTGTTGGAATGAGGGTTTCAACACCAAAATAATATTAATGTTTCGGACTTACGGAATTAATAGAAATTACTTAAGGATTGTTTGGGATCAAATTTTGTTTCTTCTTTTTTGTTTTTAAAAACAAAAACAGTGTTTGTTTAACTGTTTTTTATATTTTATTTCTATTTTTTTTATTTTTAGAAATAACATTTTTGTTTTTTAAAAATATTGAAAACAAAAAAATATATATTTTACTATTTTTTAAAATATTTTAAAGAGACCAGTCTCTAAACACATATTTTAAATAAGCCATAAGAAAATGCACACCGTCGGCCGCTGCTCGCCACCGCCAGCTGAGGCAAACAACGGCATTACCTAGGATTATCGTCGCCGCCGCCCGCCGCCTGTCGCCGCTCCCTACGCTAGTTACCTGTCGCCCGCCCATTACTTGTAGTCTTCGTCGTCGTTTTCCTACCTGTTACCTACCGTTGAAGCTGCCCTTCGTCCATCGTCGATCGCATGCCTTCGTCGTCACCCATCTCTTTCCTCCCTCCCGCTGCCACGCGCACAGATAATGATTAATGCTAGGTGGATCAAAGAAGACGTTGTGTACACAATGGACGGCATAGATTAATATTGGAGTGTCCCGTGAACCCAACCATTTTATAAAAAATATAGTTCTTTTAAAGAAAATAAAAAATACCAAACCAAACATATTTTATATTTTTTATTTTTAAAAACATATAAATCATAAGAGTGTCAAACACGTTTTCTAAAAACAGAAAACAAAAAACAAAAGAGACTAAGAAATACAAACACAAAACAAAAAGTAATCCCAAACAGGCTCTTGGGAGAAGAAAAATCCTATGTTGTTATAAAATGCATTAAAGGTCGATGGGCTTTCCCCTATTTTCTAAATTCAAACAGTGTAAGCATTCACTGTTAGGAATAACAACTTCCTTGTAAAATTTACCACCGACTAAATTAAAAATTGGTTGGCAACATTGATTCATAAAATATAGAGTATGGTTGATTTTTGTGGATAAAAAAATCAAAAGAGAAAGAGAGGACAAGAGTCACTACAAACCTTAGATAAATGCAGCAGAAAAACGAGAAAGATGACAAGCATTAGAGGAAAGAAAACAAGATTAAAGATGAATAGTTAATTTCCCTTTATTAGTGAAGGATGAATGGCCTTTTATTCTATTAATTTGATAGCTTTTGGCAAGCATGCATAGAGGCCCTACAACAAATCATAGAATGTGCCAAAATTGAAAGGAAAATAAACCAAAAGATAGAAGAAACGAAACTTAATGACCTTAACCAATATGATACCTTTTTGGAACATGTTACACCATATAATCAATGGATCATAATATATTATTAATTCAAATTTTGTTCATATTATAAGAATAACTTGTGTGTTCAGTTTTGTTTAAATTGTCATTAAATCTACTACAATAATATTGATTGTGATGCAAATATGAATGAAATATTTATCATTAAAAAGGTAATATTTTTATAGCATCATTGTATGTGCATGTTTGGCTATGATGGAGCACCCCTTGATGGTATTAATGGGGGAACATTAATAAATTTGTGCACTTAAATAGAAAAGAATATTGATATTTAAGTATATTAAGTGATAAAATTTTTAGACGGTGTCTCCTGTGACGATTGTGCAGATACATAATAATATTGATATGTTATTGATATTGTAAGGATCTTTGAACAGCAATAAATGTTTTTTATTGATTTCTTAAAAAACTTGACTGACATGCATATTGTCTTATTTTCTCTTGTATTGCTCTGGTTTAGGAATATGAGTATTCACTGGTATGTTAGTAAACTGTTATTTGAAACTAATTTTTCAGGTAAATTTTAAGTGATTAAAAGATGAACGATAAACGGGAAAACATTTAAAGAAGGCATGTACAACCAGTAATGAGGTAAAATTAATTTAATGATTTAATTTAATTTCTTTAGTGACTCTTTCATCTATTAAATTCTAGCCGAATATAGAAATTTTAATTCACACCGTCCGCCGTCAGTTCCAGCCTTAGTTAATTCCAAGTTCCGGCCGGGTCGTGACATTGATGAGCCTAAAGAAGTGAATAAATGATTTTTATCATTTATTTGTCTTTTATTTTCTAATTTCATTCAACATGCTTAATAAAAATGAACCTATGGTTGGCCCATCTTAAAGAGAGGTGGATTGAAGGTGAAAAGACATTGCATGATATGAATTTATATTATACGCTTGTTAACCAAAATACTTTAAGCTTCAATAAAAAAACTACTAAACCAAAATACTTTGTTGATGAACCTGTCAAAATCTCGGTAGATAGCTTGTTGAGTCATAGTACTTTAGCCATGCATCTTTTTGAAAGCTCTCTCATACAACATTATCCTTATTATACTTATCCCATTGTTTTAGGTTTTATCTTAGAAATCCAAATCATTTGTATTACTTCAATCCATGTTGTAAAAAATTGATCTACCCCCGTTCCTTCCAGCTTCGCTCAAACAAATACATCCATCCTGCATTTTGATGCAGCTGTAATATAATTCATAATTCTCTTAATGCAGATCCTCGATAAAAATATCATTTTTCTTTCTTTTAATTGTTAGCAACAGTCAACTAAGCAAAAACACATTGTCTTATGGGATTGCATGTACTTGATACAATAGTGACTGAATAAGGTCAATACAATATTTAGCAGAAGAAAATAGGTGAACAAAGGAAACAATGGATCAAATGTAAATATATGGACTTACACCTGTATAAAAGGAAGCAATGCAGCCAACAATGGTGGTGTTGAATGAAGAGCAAGACGCAAATGTTTCACTGCATCTCTGTACTTCTCATTGGCCAACTTCCGGTACAGCAGTATTGACTGAATCGGATCCTCTGTTAAGAGCTTTATATGTATAGGCAACAATCTTTTATCCAGTTCTGACATAGAACAAGAAACAAAATTTACGTTAAACCATAAATGTAGAAGTCAACTACTGTTGTAAAAAAGCAAGGGGAAGTTTCAAGCATACAATTATATCAATAGAAAAAACACTTAAAGATCATGGACACGTGGGATATTATACATCTGATCAATCTACTATAGATGGAGTGAATTTCAGAAAGGCATGTTTCAAAGTGCATGATGATTGGCCTAGAACTAATTAAAACTGATTTAGTAAAAATTATTTTCCAATTTATGCTGACATTGTTATAATCTATATAGCTACAGAAACATTCAAATGCCTATCTAATGTTACAAGGCATAACAGACTAGTTCCAAATAATTAACCTGCTTGCAACTTATTGCTAATAATGAATAAAAGAAGAGGTACGATCAAATTAGTACTTACACATAATGAAAAAAATCAAAAGAGGTGTCCCGATCATCTCTTTTAAGTTTACATATTTCTTTGTAACAAAGGAGAAAATATAGGAATACTAGCATCATCACATCAAACAGTGGATGGAATAAACAACAAATAAACATTCTAAAGCGCATTAATTTACATGCTCGGATTCATACATCTTATCATGGGAAATGCTGGTAAACTTCTCTTTTTGATGCAATACATGTGATTATGGTTCTGACAACCCAGATGTCAATATAAGAGAAAAATGCCAAGTTTTGAGATATTTGTTAAGTTTCACAATCTTTTAACAAAAAATATTTAGACATTCCACATCAATAAAAATCTGAAAATAGCAACAATAAGCAACATTAAGAAAAAAAAATGGAAATGCAAAAGGCAAACCAACCAGAAGCAAAAAAAATGGACGTGTTGATAAAGTTATCCCGAAGTTTGGGGAGCACTTTCTCCTCTCCGTCGCATTGGCTAATATGGACCTGTGCATTAAAGGCATCAACAGAATTTTCTCGAAGAGCATCATATTTTCCTACCATAAAGATTTTCTCGATGCCAACAGAGCTTTCTGAAGAACAATGAAAAGATGCTTTGGTATTCTCAATATCAACAGCAACATGACCATTTGAACTTTCATCAATATCAGTTTCCTGAAAACCATCAATCATGGGCATCCCAAGTGCGTCTGATGAAAGGTGAACATCAAAACCTTTTATTTGCATCTCCTCAGGTAAATCAGCATACCAAAGCTGATACAGTATCAATCCATGGATCAAGTTAACGTAAGGCTCGGTTCCAAATTCCTCCGTAACAAGACTGAAAAGAAAAAAAATATGTTTAATCAACATTATCGGATGTTCAACTCATAAAATCTTAACCAAAATAATAAACAAATAGATAGTCCACAAAATATATGATGACTGAAGGCTAACAGCAATAAATTCCACGTGCCTATTATATTCCAACATAATAAATCAATAAAAAAATTTTAACAAAGTAACAATATTGACATAAAGAAATCTCAAAAAATTATATAAAATATAATTTGATAAAGTTCAGAATTACTCTAAACATTTTAAAATGATGAGAGTAAATTTCAATCAAGTGAGAGAAGATCTCCCATACCAAAGGGGTTGTTGGGTTTATGCTTCCCAGTGTCCTTGATATAATTTTATGTTGAGTATTTTTGGCAGTAATATAATTTGTTTAACCTATTGTTATCTTGTATGTTGAGATAAGCTAACTTGTATAAAAGCCAAACTCAAATCCGATGTGATATAGATTTCTTTAATTTTCATAGCAATATAAAAGGGAAAGAAAAAATTGAAAGGCGTAATCTACATTGATCATCCTAGATAACATCATTATTTAAATGAAAACCCAATCAACTAAACAAGTTACATTCCATAAAAAAAAACAATTACATGAATGCTAGTAAATTGTAACCATTTAACAGCTCAGAAGCCCTTAAGAGCCTACTTAGCAGCTCAAAAGCTTCCTTAAAGAACCAGTCACCAGTGCACATTGAAGCAAGAAAATTTATGCCGAAAGATGTTAAACCATGGAAGCTAAATAATTATTGTGTTCAATGGTAATTTTGTTTGAACAAAACCCTAAATGGTGAAAACTTGTAACCCATTATAAAAAAAAAGAAAAAACTTGCTTCAAAATAGCTCATTTTAAAAGGAAAATAATATGATATATATATAGAAGATCAACAATAATATTGAAGCAAACATATAAAACAAAAGTTTATGGGTCATATTAAAACAAAAAACAGTCAGAGGAGTGTAAATTTCATCTGCAACCCTCAAAAGCATGATAATGCGCTTTAGAAAAAAATCCATAATAACAAAAGTATGAAAATTGGACAGTATAGTTTTACTTCACTGCAAAAAAACAATTGAAAAGAAAGCGATGGAAGCTTACAATCTTGTGTGAGAATATGCCTCTTTAATTTTCCCTTGACTGAGATAAAAAAGTGCTAGTTCAAGCTGAAGCAAGTGTTTCTGCTCAGTAAGAAGAAGATGCAGCAAATCAACGTCATAAAGATTACCAATATCAAAGGCCTAGCACTATATTTCATACATTTTCACCAAGCATAGTTTGTTTATTAATTTACATATGACTTGTCAAAAATTGTGCTTGAAAATGACGAATCATGCCATGAAAATAGAGCAATCTAATTACCTTCGCATGCCCTTTCTTATGCCAGGATAGTTTACCCATCCAAATCTCATAAGTTGATTTGATCAAATTATGGTAGTTTCTCTTCCTGCAGAACCGCTTCTGAAGCTCCATAGCGATCTAAACGCAAATGTCTTGTGATCGTTAGTGATAAAAGCCCGCCACCAACGTAAGATACCCATTATAAAAAAAAAAAGAGATTGAACACATTCAGCCAACCAGAAAGTTTCTCCGGTCCTCGGAGTAGTAACGATGGCAACCCGCAAAAGTAGCGCTCAAAACCGCGCTGGCTTCTCTCCACCGGTGGTTCACAACTAACCGATCGAGGAGACGGCTCAACCTTCGATGGTTTATGCGCCTGACGGCAGAAGATTTCTTCTGCGGTACCCTCCAGTGGCCACCGCTCTCCATCCGAAGCTTCAAACTAGCGACATCTGGGACAGCGAATGGCTTGGTTTCTCGAGATTTAGTAAATCCAGGCATTGTGAGAATTTAGCAAATTCACTAGTCTCGTGAACTCTTCTTCTTTATAGGCCCTTCATATACCTTCTCTAGCGAACTTCCGTAGCCACTTCCTAGCTTCTTTGTTGTAAGGGGCTATATGGTAGCCGGTTTTAAGCAGGATTTAGGATAAATTAAATCCTGCCCGACGGAGAAAAAAGAAAAAAAACGCCTGCCTAAATCCTGAGCTCTCGTAAATCCCAAAATGCTGCGGACGAGCGAAGAGGAATGATAGCGTGAACAGGCTTCCTTCCTCGATGGTTTCTGGTAGAAGCGGAGCGGAAGGATGAGAAAGACGGGAGTCTCGGAGGCCTCCGTAAGCCGCGATCCCGTTATTGCTTTCCCAGCTCGGCTCTAATTGAAACTGTGTCGCGAGGGTTCGTTGACGATGGTTTTGGGCGAAACCGGGAGGGTGAGGAAAAATTTCTCATACGGAGTGCGAAGTAATATGCCGACTACAGTGATATACGGCGAATCTCATAAATACCGTGCGCTTCAGTGATATACGGCGAATCTCATAAATACCGTGCGCTTCAATATTTTTTGTGATTTCACGTCAATAATCAAAGTAAAAAATTCTAATAATCACTAAATAATAATGTAATAATCTTCAATAATATCTCGTAGTAAATCGCTCTAATAACATCTATTCTACATCAATAAACCCACAGAAGAACTTCAATAAATCTCCAATAACACCGCAAAACGTATATATGACTAACGTCTAATTTTATTAGAGGAACAAGAGGGTAACATTGTATTCCTTTTTTAATCATTTTATTAAATATTATGAGTTATTGAAGGGTTATTGTAGTGCTATTGGGGACTTATTAGAGTTATTTTGCGGGAATTATTGAAGTGGAATTGTTGAGGTTATTGGAGTGGTCCACCGCGCTGTGTTATTGAAGGGTTATTGTGACGTTATTGAAGCAGTTATTGGAATTGTTCTGCGGCGGTTATTGAAGTGGGACCGCGGCATTATTGGGGACTTATTGGATTTGTTCCACGGGGGTTATTGAAGTGAAACCACAGAGGTTATTGGAGTGCTTCACCACACCGTGTTATCGGGGGGTTATTGCGACGTTATTGAAGCGGTCATTGGAATTGCTCTGCGGGGTTATTGAAGCGGAATCGTTGCGTTATTGAAGGGTTATTACGGCGTTATTGAGGGTTTATTGGGTTGTCCTGTGGGGTTTATTGATGTGGAACTGCGAAGGTTATTTGAGTAGTTCACCTCGTGGTATTGTTGGGGGGTTATTGAAGCGATTATTAGAATTGTTTTGCGAGGAAACGGAACTGTGAGGCTATTGGATCGATTCTTCATGTGGTGTTATTGAAGGTTATTATGGCGTTATTAGGGACTTATTAAAGTTGTTTTTTCGAAGTTATTGAAGTGAAAACGTAGAGGTTATTGGAGCGGTTTCACCACGATGTGTTATCAGATCGTGCACTATGACCCGGGGACCCCTGACATCAAAATGGCAGAATTGGAAACCGGGGCCTAGGCGCCCAAAAACCAGTGTCAAGGCGCTGCCCAATAGGGTATTAGCACCTAGTTCGCAGCGCATAAGCGTTGGACTCTCGGTTCGATTTAAGTGACTTAAATCGCCCAAGTTAGGTCATTTTCTTGCAATTGTTTTCCCCAACTCCTCACCGCCGATATAAGGGTGATCCTTAGGAATCCTTTTCTCCTTGTTTTGAGATCAATCTCGAGGGTATGAAGGGTGAAATTCATCTTCATGAGGTAAATTACATCACTTTAAGCTTGCATTTCCTTTTTCATCCGTGAATTTGAGAAGATTTCGGGGAAATCGTGAAGAAGAGGAAGAGATTAAGAGGAGAGTTGATTTACCTCTTAACTAGCATATTGATTGCATTCCTATCATTTGTAAGCTCATATTTCGCCTTAACTATCTTTGTTCCTATTTGTCATGGCCCCTAAAACATCTGCTATGAAGGTTAAAGCTTCCTTTAACAAGAAGTTGTTCATTAAATTTATTGCTCGGGAGAGGTATAATGAACACTGAGTCAAATAAGCTAATTGTTGAGTGTGACCTCATTAACCCTGGAGGTCAAATCGAGAACATGATTGCTAGCAAGAATTGGGATGCCCTCAGCTACACCATCGTTGTAGCAGTGATTTCTGTGGTGAGAGACTTTTAAGTTAACCTCCCTGATGCTTCCTCAGATTCAATATATGTGAAGGAGAAGCGAGTGACATTCTCCCCATCATGCATTAATGTCTTATTCTTGTTGGGATATGTGTCGGGGTGCTACTACTCCAGCTTCATTCCTAAGGATGTTGAATTTGATGAAATTACCAGGTATCTGATGAACGAATAAGGGACTTTGAAGGTGTGGAATGACTATAAAGTCAATCTCTCTTCATCTAAATTAAATCCAACTTCCAAGGCTTTACATTACTTCATCTCTGCCAACCTCCTCCCTTCCACCAATTTCAGTGAGGTGACGAGAGAAAGAGCCACTCTCAATTATTGCATCCATACTAAAAAAATCTATTGATATATGTGTTATGATTTATCACTCCATCATCAATGTTGCAAAGAAAGAATCTACAGTAGGGTTGGGTCATCCAGCCACTATTTCTCCCTTTGCTAGCAGTTCATAGTTTATTGTGAGGGGTGAGGAGAGTTGTTACATCCGCTTAAGCCTATTAACAAGGCTAATGTGGACGTTTAAAGCAAACATTCTCTTTTTATGCGTGAGCTAGTTCTTCTCAAGCACCTTCATCTTCAGGACCTTCTTCATCCTATTTACAACCTAGACCCTCTACCAGCATGACCGCTTTGTCTAAGAGACTGAAGAAAGTGGAGGAAGATGTAGAATATATTCAGACTTCATTTTACAACTTAGCAAACCACTTAGCTTAATTGGATTGGCCGCAAAAAAGCCAGTATGATTATGTTGTGAGCTTCCAGGCTACCCAGTTGGAGATGTACAAGAAGAACAAGTGTATTGGTGAAGACCAATCAATAGAGTTCCCAACATGCCCACCTTACCAGCTGTACGAGCAATGGAGGAGGATTCACAGGAGCAAGAGAACTCTAATGATGATGAAGAGAAGTAGGAGTGATTGGATAGATTTAATGTTTTCTTTATGCTTAGTTTTTATTGTTACAGTTGTTGTGATGATGTATTTCTTTTTAGTTGAATGTAATGGATATTTTATTTGTCCTTGTAACTATTGTAATATTTATGGAGAAACATATTTAGTGTTTGTTTTTTTATATTTCTATGTTGATAACTCCACAGTTATTTAAACTTTCTTCAGTTATGTTTTCATTCTAGCATGTGTAGTTTGGATTTACTTTCTACTGCATCATGTTCTATCTTGATGAATACTTGCAAATGTTTATAATAGACTTATGAGATAGATTTTATTTCTGAGATGTGATTTTTCTTCCTACTTCTATTTTTTATTTTTAATGATATACATGTTAAAAATAAAGTTTGAGGGGTAAAAAAATCTTTAAAGAAGCTAAACTTTTTTTATCCTCAATAACTAACATATAAAATTGATATCACTTTAAAATGGCTTTTGGTATGTGGTGTTGTCTTTATGGTACTATAATTTTGATTTTAGGGACGTTATAAAAAACTTATTTGATTTTTTTTTGAAAAGGACTATGCTAGAGTTACGTTATTTAGTATGGGATAATAGGAATATGATTTTACTATTTATAATAGGAAAGAATTGTACTTTAGAAAAATTGGGATTCTTAGATTTACACTATAAAAGAATTTAGACTCTATCAAAACTTATTTTCAAACTAGTACTTACAACTTTCAAGTGGAGAAAAGTGATGAGTTTTTAACTTTAAGAGAATGATAGTGAAATTCAAAATTATTTAAGGTCTATTCAGACATAGTAATCCTCACATAAAAGTGTAAATGATTAAAAATATCCTAAAATAAAAAGAAAATGAAGATATATATATAATTTCACTTGAATCTTCTTAAAAAAAAAAAGACTTAGATGCAATCATAAACTCATTTTTATTCAGAAAAATATTAGCAAAATTTTACAACTGAAGTGCTTAAATTCTTATTTTATAATTTATAGGAATCCCAAATTTGATAAATTACAATTATTTTTGAAGTAGATAGAAAATAACACTTTTGAGGAATGTTATTGTGTTGATTTTAAAGGTTGCAGTAAGGAATGGACATCAAGAATCGAACTGGAAGAAGTAACATAATTTGTCTAATGGGTGCCTAGGCGCATGTACATGGCACCTGGTTGCCTGGACATTGGTGCGTGAGCAACAGAAGTTGCTTAGAATCAAGTCAAAACCTGAGAGCATGGAGCCAAGGTGTCACTCAAGAGTGCTTTCGCGCCATCGACAATGGGCACTTAGGCGCCGCGAACTTAGGAGCTCAGGCTCCCAATGAATAGTTCCAAACTAAGAGTTTGACGCTCAGGCGACCAAAACTGAAATCAGTAGCTAGAGCAGTTTGGATATTGAGATCATGGGAAGATCATGGAAATTATGGGGAGAGAATATAAAAATTAAGGAGACAAAGTGAGGAGGGTTGGCTTCTGCTTCACTTGAGATCTAGTTTTTCTTCTCCTCGGGTAGTGAAGAAAATTATGGCAGATCGCCAACAGCAGAAGACAAGAAGTGTGAGAGACTTGAAGGTCTAAGTGCTTGTATTTCCATTTATTCTTTATTATGAATACGAGAAAGAAAAGTTATCTTATGTAGTTTTTTTGTAATCTATTATTTACAAGACTTTGACATTTTGATTTATTTTCTAATTAAATGAGTGTGTTGATGTGTACATCCATGAGTAGTGAGTAATCTTCTTATTTCTTCCTTGGGATGGGTAAGTAAGATGGATTCGTGCAAATGTGTTTTTTGTCTTTGAACAAAATTATTTTATGATGATGGTTAACTTTTTGAACTTCATTTACACTTTATTTTGGCCTTGTGATGTGTTAAAATTTGTTGTGAATTCTAAGTCTTGGAAGAAAAAATAATAGAATCATCTAAGTTAATCACATTAGCCTATAGGGATAGGAATATATATTGTAGGTGATGCTAATGTTTGGAAAGAATTTGTGATTTAGGTTAGTAATAGGATTTATGGAAATAAAAATATGTCCTAACAAACTTCTTTTTGCTACCAGAAGGGTGCAAAGAAGACTCTTGCTCCAGTGGAGTTCCCAGCATGCCCACCTTAAATTTAGGGTTATTTTTATAGGACTTACATCTTACTAAATTTTCAGGCTTTGACTAACAACTATAGGCTAGAACTTTTTCTGTTGAAGTTCATCTCGTTCTCTGTAGGATCGACCACATGTCTCAAATACTCGTACCACTAATATGCAATGCGTACTTATGTGAGCCACCTGTGCTTTGCAGCACTTGGTGTGTGTTAGGGTGCCCGACTACTACCACATGCAGAATGATAAATTAGAGCCACAAAT